TTTCAGAAAAAAATCTTTAGAAACAAAAAAGATATTACAGAATATATAGTGCTGGGGTCCGCGCGGACCCCAGGTGTACTGTTTAGGGTTAAGATCGCCGCATTGAAAACTAGAGTTCGCCGACCTCATACTTCCATGAAATGTTGAGTGCTTTAAATTCTGTAAATCTTATGCGTGGTGATGACCACCTGTAAATGACTTACATTTACAATCCTGCTCATTAGCAAAATTTGTACATGCAAAGTATTTACATGGCCCCTACCTAAAACTAGAGACTAATTTTCAGCTTTCATACACAAGAGTTCCACGACCTCATACCTTGGCCAAATTTCATGTTAAGCGTTAAAGCTGAGATTTTTAAGGTGATCATGCAAATTATAAGAGCCTCGGCCGAATTCTTTCGAAATTATATCAATTGATCATATTTTCCACTAAATGACAGTCTTATCTTGAGAAATAAGACTATTCTATCATTTCCTCATAAATTATGCAAAATAATGTCCGGATTTGAATAAATTATGTCTAGTGAAGTTCAGATTCACTGAACTTCCAAATATGTCAAGTATTAAGTTCCCAACAGTTACCACTATAAAACTGTACCAATTTCCGATTAATTATGCAATCAATATCTGCTAATGTGCCTGCCGTTCTCATTACATACAAGTGCTTCATAGCCCTAATATCGAACACAGCAGATTGATAGAATTTACTCATTAATTATGCAAATTAGATCCTCATTTGTATAAATGTATTTTTACATGTATTATGTCAAGCATCACTCACGCTACCTACATACCAAAAGTCACGACGATCCGTCACCCGGTTTTTCCTCTCTTGAAGTTTTTTTTTATAAACAAACCGTCCTTATGTTCCATAACAAGCTGCTAGGAGGCCTAGTAGCTTCTTTCCGAGCACAAGAGCTACCTACCATCCAAAATTCGTAGATCGCGAGATATCAAACCGGAATTTTCGCCTCAGTACCAAGGGAAGCCACTAGGGGGCCCAAAATCTCATCATTTCTAGATTTCGTCACATCCTTTCAATGCACCAAGTATGAAACCAATCCATCTAGCCGTTCTTGAGTTATGTTGTTGACCAACAGAATGACAGACAGAATGAAAGAATGACGAACGCAACTGAAACAAGTAAACCTTTTTCTAGCGCCCTGCATCGTACTGCCATAAATGTTAATGTTATTTAAATAGCCAGCTTCAGACAATTAACACCACGTGACTGATCCTGGGTTGTTTGTCACACGGCGTTACGGATCGGCTATCGAAGGAGGCAGACACACCATAGAAGAACAACAACAATCTGTGCCCAAGTTCCTGTCAAGAAGTGACAACTGCAGCTATTCTGACCAACTTGAAAGGTGCGTGTCTGCGAGTGGATAAACAATTAAGGTATAATTTAATGTCGGTAGTTTGTCACTGGCCTACGCCCATAGGCGAGGCTGGAAATCAAATGTTAATTGTAATGGGGGGGGGGTATTTGAAACACTTCACAGCCCGAAGGCTGAATTACATGTCCCGTACATTGTATAAAAACAACTTGTAACAAAAGAATTATCACTTGTGACACTACAGGTTAAAATGCCAACATTCATTAAAAGTACTAATTCAAAAATTGAAATATATCAGCATGTACGTGTAGTGGGGTTGCATTACAGAGTACTGTTTAAAAGCTGGACCAGGTTCTCCAAGAAGATTTGCCCTTTTCTGACTGTTGGCAATGGTAGAGAGGCTATTTTCCGTCTTGTAAACGGTCGATGCCATTTGAAAGGGTTGATGCCATTTCGCTGAATGGTCAATGCCATATCCGAGCGTCCAAAAACGACTAAAAAGTTATGTATAGTATAAAAAGCAATATTCTAATTGCAAATATAAGGAGGGTCATGTAGACTTGTAAATATTAGTGAAAAAAAACACAATTCTCGGATTCGGATTCGAACCCAGGTCCAAAAGTGTTGCTCCAAAACCCTAACCCTAACCTACACCCTAACCTCTACGCCATGAAACATCACGGTGTGGATAGTCCGTGCTGATACACTTAAAGTTAGCCGTTCTGCGAAATGGCATCGACCGTTTCAAATGGCATCGACCGTTTACGAGACGGAAATTAGCGGTAGAGATAGCTGGGAGAGAAGACGTTTAACAATATTCCAAATTAATATCTGCTTGGAGGTAAGGTTACATGTAGTTCTAGCGGGGGTACAAGGGGTGTTGCGCCATGATAGTTTTATTTGCTGACGTGGCACTATTGGCAAAAATGCCGCTGAAAATAAAAACTTCAGATAAACCATGCAACATTGCCAAGAAACAATCTGTTTAAAATTCTTTAAGGCTTGATGTTATGTTACGACCATATTACTTTTCAAAATGAACACGGCAACACAGCTTATATGTCTACATTTACCAGGAGATTTTTGTACAATTGCATTATTCCAAGGACATAGAACGTCTTTGATTATTCAAAAGACTAACACATTCATATTAGAAACACATTCATATTAGGGCTATTTTAATAGTCTCTACCAGACTCCTTTGCAGTGGACCATAGAGGGTCCAGCTTGACAGTGCAGGCAAGCTGGACCCTCTATGGCCGGCCAACTCCTCTGGCCAATGATTTCCCCCTTTGCCGATTTCTACTATTTATTCATCCTGCAAAGGAGTCTGGTAGAGACTACTATTTTAATGACATTTTAGAAATAGGAACCTTTAAGAGTTATAAGAAGTGTACAGTTTTCTAGTCTTCTGCTGATTTCCTTGCCTGGGAGGTCCAAACAGGGCCATAAGAAGGAGTTACACAATATCAATATTCAAGCAGCAAGTCTGGCATGGATGCACTGTGTATGATTCTCAACGATTAGAACGAGTCCAATATGAATGTGCACTTACAGTTTCAGGGGCTGTCAGAGGGTCTTCTTACTCCTCACTCCTTGTTGATTTAGGCTGGGAGAGACTCTCTGATCGTCGCCATGTTTACTCACTGATCATGATGTACAAAGTAATCCATGGCCATACCCGTCAGTATCTCAGGGACCTGATCTCTCCCGAAGTTTCTTTTTCGACTTCATATGATCTTCGTAATAAATCTAATTTACGGCTACCGCTTTGTCTTACAACTAGGTATAAAAAGTCTTTCATTCCATATGCTACGCATCACTGGAATGGTCTTGATGTAGCTGTTCGATCTCTGAATCTTTCATTGTATAAGAAGTACTTAGTAAAGTCAATACGTTCCCCTTTTTACCGACATTTTAGCATCGGCCCCAGGTACACCTGCGCATTACTCACGCGTCTCCGCATCGGGACCTGTAGTCTTAACCACAGCTTATTCTTAAGAAAATTAGCCCCTAGTGCTGCTTGTATCTGCGGGTCTCGTTGTGAGAGTGTCATACATTTTCTTTTACACTGCCCTTTATATAATCAACCAAGAGTCACCCTACTCAGCAATTTGTCGAGACTCAAAGTGCTTGTTCTTGCATCTTTGTTCTCAATTACATAGCTACTATATAATTACTTTGAGAATATTCCAGTTTTGCACTGGGGTAAGTTTGGAATAGTCCACTTTTGGGTGGGAGGGAGATGGACTGAAATATGCTGTATTTGCTCCAAAGCAAATGTCGGCCTTTCTAGTGTATTGTAATTGTATTCTATGTTTGGTGGTGAGGCTAAAATTAGCTATAGCTAGAGTACCTCACCACCTTGTCTTGTATTGTCCTTGTTGAATTTGCAAATAAAAAAAAAAAAGCAGCAAGTCTCAGACAATTAACAGGTCCATACGATAACCACTGGAGATAGGGGCCCCGCCGGGTAGTTTACGGGCTGTTTTTTTTTTTCATTTTTGGGCGCGGCCGCCGCACAGTTTTATGAGACGGAGGGGGGGGGGTTCATAGAGCCACAGCAAGTTATTTTTATTGATGACAGCAGTGCGCGCATTAATTTTCGTCTGGTTTTGACAAAAAAAGAAGAAATTTTGTTGCCCTCTGCCGGAACGTGCATGGTATATACATGTAAAGAGAAGAGACAAGACAAAAGACAATTTATTGTTTTGTTGCAGTCAA